CTGCTGGAGCTGAGGACTCGGACAGTGGAGCTGCTGCTGGTGCTGAGGACCCGAGCGGTCGAGCTGCTGCTGGTGCTGAGGACCCGGGCGTTGGAGCTACTGCTGGAGCTGAGGACCCGGACGGTGGAGCTGCTGCTGGTGCTGAGGACCCGAGCGGTCGAGCTGCTGCTGGTGCTGAGGACCTGGACGGTGGAGCTGCTGCTGGTGCTGAGGACCCTGCCGCTGGTGTCGCTGCTGGTTCTAGAGACGCTGCGCGGCCGCGACCGTACTTCGTACCACTTCTTCAGCAGGTTCTTGGTCAGGCTCCTCCTCCTTGTCCTCCTCCCTCCGTAGCGTGTCCTCCGCCTGTCCAGTCGCAGTCCCAGTTCCCGCCTGCCTCGCCTCTCCCTGCTCCCTCTCCTTATACTGGTCCCACAGGAGGTCTTACAGAGCGTCGTGAGCCTGAGTCTCGTCCTGCGTCGCCTGTTCGTACTGCTCGCACTGGTCGTCGTGTCCCACGTGAGCGTCCTCCTCCTGTCCCTGGCACTCACTACATGACTCTGCGTCCCTCCACTGCTCCTCAGCGTGTCCCGCTGCCGTCTCCTCCTGCGTCCTCTCTGCCTACTCTTCCTGATCCGGAGTCTGACTCCCGTCGTGCTGCCAGTCCCACTGTCACCCGTCTCCTCGCTACTGTTGTCACTGACCCTACCTTTGAGTCCTCTGCTGCATCTGCTCTGGTCGCTGAGTTGATCGACTTTGCTGCCCGGTGTCGTCTAGACTACGCCACTAGCCTTGTTGCTGAGTCTGAGTCTGAGTCTGTCTGTCCTCCGTCCGTCGGGGGTGAGTGTGCTCTTGGCACGGACGTCCTTGAGGACAGACAGGAGGAGTTCCAGTGCTTTGCTGCTGCTTTACCCCACCTCGTGTCCATGCTAGTTGCCCCTGAGGGAGACCCGGATGCACCAGACATCCCGACCCCGCGCACTTATGCTGAGGCGATGGCGGGTCCCTACTCCTCTCAGTGGCAGACAGCCATGGACGCAGAGATGGCTTCCTGGAAGTCCACAGGCACCTACGTCGACGAGGTTCCCCCACCTGGGGCGAACATCGTCAGTGGCATGTGGATTTTCAGGGTGAAGCGGCCGCCGGGTTCTCCTCCTGTCTTCAAGGCGCGTTACGTTGCTCAAGGCTTCAGTCAGCGAGAGGGAGTAGACTTCTTCCAGACCTTCTCCCCCACCCCGAAGATGACCACTCTTCGGGTGCTGCTGCACATAGCCGCTCAGCGCGACTACGAGCTTCACTCACTTGACTTCAGCACTGCTTTCTTGCAGGGTAGCCTGCACGAGGAGATCTGGCTGCGCCGCCCTCCTGGCTTCACTGGGTCGGTTCCTCCTGGTACCCAGTGGAGGCTTCAGCGGCCGGTCTACGGTCTCCGCCAGGCACCGCGTGAGTGGCACGACACACTGAGGACGACACTTGCGGCTCTTGGGTTCGCTCCCTCTACTGCTGACCCGTCACTGTTTCTACGCACAGACACCTCACTGCCTCCGTTCTACATCCTCGTGTACGTCGACGACTTGGTCTTTGCCACTGCTGACACCGCGGCACTCGCCCACGTGAAGTCGGAGCTGCAGAGGAGACACACGTGCACAGACCTGGGTGAACTGACAAGCTATCTTGGCTTGCGGATCACCTGGGACAGAGCACGGCGCACCATCACCTTGACTCAGTCACACATGGTGCAGCAGATCCTTCAGCGCTTCCGCTTCACGTACTCCTCGCCTCAGTCCACTCCTCTGCCTACCGGTCACTCGCTCTCAGCTCTGCCTTCGGATGAGTCCGTAGAGCCGAGTGGCCCGTATCCAGAGCTTGTGGGCTGCCTCATGTACCTGATGACCTGCACTCGACCTGACCTTGCATACCCTCTTAGCATCCTTGCGCGCTATGTCGCTCCTGGCCGTCACAGGAAGGAGCACATGGATGCCGCTAAGAGGGTGTTGCGCTACTTGTGCAGTACGTCGGGCATGGGGCTAGTGCTTGGAGGGCGAGACCGAGTTGTACTTACTGGACACTCTGACGCTTCTTGGGCAGACGACCAGGCTACTCAGCGGTCGTCTCAGGGTTACACCTTCAGCCTTGGCTCCGGCTCAGTTTCTTGGCGTTCTACACGCTCTTCTTCTGTTCTCAGCTCCAGTTGTGAGGCTGAGATCTACGCCACAGCCATGGCTGCCCAGGAGCTACGCTGGCTGACCTACCTGCTGACCGACTTGGGAGAGCGGCCTCGTTCTCCTCCAGTGCTGTACGTCGACAACAAGGCTGCCATTGCCTTGTGTGAGGAGCACAGACTGGAGCACAGAACGAAGCACATCGCCCTGCGGTACTTCCTTGCTCGAGAGCTGCAGCAGCGTGGTCAGCTTCGTCTGCGTTACGTGGCCACTGAGGCCAACCTTGCTGATGTGTTCACCAAGGCACTTCAGCCTTGTGACCATCAGCGTTTCTGTACTCTTCTAGGCCTTGTGCCTGCTGGACCTCACTTACTTACTTCTTGACTCTGCTTGTACTGTGATCTTTATATATATGCCTGCATGTTTACACTTGCTAGGTTGTGATCACTGTATCTCTTGTTATATTATCATCCTGCATGTGAACTGGTCTTGTGACCACTTGCTTGTGCTCGGAATTTGTGTGGTATCCTTGAGATCCACCCTGAGCTTGTTTTGCTTTGCTTTGACTGGTCTTGTGACCCCTTGCTCTCCCCCACTTTGCCTATGGGGGTGTGTCAAACATTATATATGTTGTATTTGTTTAGGCTACAGTGGGTTAGCCTATAGGGGGTACACAATTCTAGGGTTAGGTACTTGTACTGATTTCACTGTTAGTTCAATCATTCATGTCCGTTCATTCTGACATGTCATCCCTATCACTGGGAGCTCGGGACTATCGCTGGAGGAAAAACTTGCTGCACTTACCTCTGCGCATGACAATGACAATGATGGCGAGTTCGCTGACGACGATTCGGATGATGAGCTGGATTTTGAAATCTCGGCAGATTCAGCTGCCAAGCTTCGTTACACGGCCGTTCTGCTTCTTCCGCTCGTTCTGCAGCAAGAAATGGCTCCAGTTATCATCACCGTGCAGATGCTGCTGAAGCGTGTCTGGTCTTCCTTGCTCTCTGACGGTGGTAACACATCAGTTAACTTTCAGGATATCCACCCAGCTTATGTAGCAAAGGCCAACTACAGTCGCCTTCAACTGTCTTTCCTGAAAGAAGAAGATGCGACCAAAGTTCGTCAGGCCAATCTGAAGTATCAGAAGCCGAATGGAGCATCGTTTAAGCTGCACTGGTTGCACACTGAAAACGCGGCTTTTACAAAGGCCTGCCACTAACCAGCGAGCTATTGAAGTGGTATTCAAGGACATACCTGCGAACATTACGCCGGAAGCGGTTGAGGAGTTGCTGGTGAAATACAAGCTGAAAATTCGTCAGGTCACGCCTTTCCTGGAGAATCACTACTTTCACCGTGTCCTACATCCGGTTTCTGGAGCTGACACTGGGGTTATCAAAGGACTGGTGGTGCCACACCCGGAAGATAAGAAACGGCGTTGGATTCATCAAGTCAATCACCCACAAGAACATGGCAAGAAGCTCCTGGTTCATTACCCTTCGCTCTCCTGTCTGCTCTGTGGGGGGTGGCATTATGATAAGTATCATGATGCCTTCACCACTGACCGACAGCATAACATAAGGAAATGGAGCTTGAGCTTAGGTCGTATTCGTGGGATTAATGGTAACAGTGCATCCACTGACTTCTATAGTCCTTACTGTCTTACCTGCTTTTCTGACACTAACCCTCTGGTCGCCTGTCGCAGCTGCCTCGCTAACCGCATCGCGCCTGGTGCTGCCGATCCTGCTAGACCCTGCTATAGTCTTGATCTCCACCTGCAGTTCCAGGGAGGAGTGGATCTGCACGCAGATTTGCTGCGGGAAGGCACATGGGAAGCTGTTTGTTGCCGCTGCAGAAAATATCACCTCTGCGCGTCACCTGCACGGACAGGGGGAGCTAGGTGCTGTCACCCGTTTGACTAGGGAGAAGGAGAACTTGCACACTGTGCGCAAGGAGTATAGTATATGATGAGCCCGGACCTGCTGGCCATGGGGATTGCAGTTAGATCGTCGGTTGTAGCTGTACTTTGTTTCACCTGCCTGTGGATGCGTAGAGGCGATCAAGCAGTGATTAAATGAATACACGGAACATCCTCTCGTTTGCGGGCCTGAATGTCAATGGCCTAGGAGATTATAACAAGCGGAAACGCACAACTGACTGGACTTACAGTGAAAAAGCCGCAGACGTGATGATCCTCTCTGACACCCGGATCACTGATACTAACCCATACTGGACCGCTCTTAAGCCTTCCTCTTTCTTAGCTGCCACCCCGGTCACTCGTGCTGGCGGTGTAGCAGTGTTTAGGCGAAGATCAGATCTTTCCTTCCACAACCCCTTAGCACACCCCTGAGGAAGACTAGTTCAGACTGAAATCCGATGTGCAGATCTCACCTTAACACTAATCGCAACTTACTTTCCTGCAGACAAACCTTTGCGACGAGCCTTCATTAGAACAGTTCTAGGGCCGCTGGTTGACCAAATTCCCTTGAGCTCCCATCTGCTGATAATAGGAGACCTAACATAGTAGAGAACCCGGTACTCGATAAGACCTCAAAGCAAGGCTCATCAAAGGAAAACGACTTACTAATCCAACGTTGCAAAGCCTTTGACATAGCTGACGCTTTTCGAGCTCTATATCCCTTCAAGCGTGAATTCACTTTTTACTCACAGGTGCATCAGGAGAGCACGCGGATCGATCGAGCACTTGTCTCTCGCTCCCTTCTCCCGTGCCTGGTATCTGCTTCTCATGCAAAGCCGGAAGAGCCGGTCTCGGACCACGCCTTCGCTGTCCGAGTGGCTTTCAGGGTCAAATTCCAGCTGCAAACGGGTCCTGGCTTATGGCGCATGCACCCCTCGATGATGCACAGACCGGGGGTTCGGAAGCTGACGGAGGAAGAGGAGCGGCGAGTTGAGAAAATCGGCGGTGGTTTTGAGGTTCTGATCTCCCGCCTGAATGCCAGCCTGCGATCGTACGCTAAGGAGGAAAGCAAGCGGATCAGAGCGACGATCCAACATCTGGCTCTGTCGGTCGAGAAGCTAAAACATGCCTCCATGTGCAATCCCAAGGATCAGCTTCTACAAGAGAGACTGAGGAAGAAGGAGGTGCAGTTAAAGGAATATCATGCGAGCCGGAGGGAGAGAGCTCACCTCATGGCGGGGATGGCGAAGGAGCTGGTGGGAGAAGTTCCCTCACCACACTTGTCTGCGATGATTAAAGTTCGGAAAGTGAAGACGCAAATCGCGGAGCTTGCGGTGCCAGGCGGATCTGTCACGGAGCCGAAGCAGATTTTGGAAGCGGCGTCTGCTTTCTACCGTGGTCTCTTCGGCGCGGACAAGAGAACGGTGGTCTCTGACTGGATTCTTGCGGCGGGGAGGAGGCTGTGGTTCTCAGATACGGAAGGGTTGCGGGAGGAATGGACGGAGGATGAAGTGAAGAGTGCATTACGAGAAATGGCCTGCAACAAAACCCTGGGGAAGGACGGACTTTTGAAGGAGCTCTTTGAGCAAAATTGGGATGTGTTGGGGAAACATCTCATGGAGCTGGTTAAAGATTTCACTGCAACGGCCACGCTTCCGACCAGTGTCAAGAACGCGGTGACCATACTCCTGCACAAAAAGGGGGCGAAGGAGCAGTTGGAGAACTATCGACCGATTACTCTTTTAAACTTCAGCTACAAGGTCTTGGCGCGTGTGCTAGCAAGCAGAATCAAGAAGGTGTTGCATAAAGTAATCCCACCGGAGCAGTTCGGGTTCATACCCGGGAGGTGTGCCTCTGATGCGGTTGGGTTGATGGCGGATGTCATTGATGTGGCAAAAAATGGCAATGAAGACTGATACATGCTGCTGGTGGATTTCAGGAAGGCCTTTGACTCGGTCTCCCGGGACTTCACCTTCGAAGTCCTCAGAAAAGATGGGATTTCCTGAGCGCTTCATTGGATGGGTGAAGGGCCTGCATGAAAACACGCGTACAACTTTACTTATTAATGGATGGCTGGGAGAAGCGGTTGACGTGGTGTCGGGAGTGAGGCAAGGGTGTCCTCTCGCCCCTTACCTGTTCCTATGCGCGGTGGAGCCGTTGGCACAGAGAGTGGAGAAGCGGAAAATCAGCATCACTCTCTCCAGTTGTGTTGGGCAGCGGCTATCTTACATCGTTTACGCAGATGATACCACCCTCATGCTGCAGGGAAACAGCAAATTGACAGGGCGGAGGAGATTCTGAAGGATTTTGGAGGGTGGTCAGGTTTGGCGACAAACAAAGACAAATCGGTGGTACTTCCACTGAGTGTCAATCTCGGGAAAAAAACGTGGCGCTCTGATGGCTTCAGATGGGCCGGTGCTGGGTCACGCCGAGTGGGAGCTGCCAGCCAACATGGGATAAGGCGCTGGAGCGGATTGTTGGGAAAATGTCGCTGTGGCAGCCGAAATATCTTCCGATCAAGGCAAGGAGAGCAGTGATGGATGGGTACATCCTGCCGATTGCTTGGTCTCAGGCTCAGGTGTACCCGCCACCTGCGCACACGTGGGGGGTAATCACAAAGCTGTCACACACTTTCATGTCAGCTAACAAGGTTATGATGGATAAAGCCTTCTTCCTCTGGAGCAAGGAGCTGCTCTACACACCGGTGATGGAGGGAGGTGTGGGTGCAAAGGACCCGGAGGCTATGCTCACCTGTTTTACGGCCAGAAGGATTGGTTTGATTCTTATGGAGACCAATCAACTCAAGCGGAATTCGATGCGCCAAGCAGCGGACCTGCCTCTAGGTCTGGACACATTCCTATCGCATGAGAAGCTCCTCAAAACGTGGAAGGGGAAAAGCCAGCGGTGGACACTGGCCTGCGAGAATTTTATGCGCTCCCCACTGGCGGTGACTGGGGTTGAACGTGAGCAAGAGGGGGTGGCGTTGGAGAGGTTGGTCTTCAACAAGAACATCCTTAAGAACGGAACTACACCAATCGGGGGGCAAAAAGCGGCGAAGCAGCTGAGGGACATAAGGCTAGGCGATCTGATCAAGAGAGACGAGACGGGGAGGGGTGTGCTGAAAGACCTGGCTACTCTAGAAAGAGAACTGCGGGAGAAGGAAGCAGCAAAGCTCGCGCTCGAGGGTTTCGCTGCAGCGCCAGAATCTTGGAAAATGGCGCTTCTCTCTGCTGAATCACCACAAGTGGGGTTTGCGGAGATGTACGAAGTGGGGAGAGCAGGGTCGAAACAACTCCGCGCAAAGCTGCTGGTGCAAGGGGGAGTTGCGTCGCTGAAGTCCCTCAGGTCTCATTGGGGGCATGGTAGCAGTGGGAAAGCTAGAAGGGACAAGTGGGAGAGCAGATGGGGTGGCTGCATTGATTGGAAACGGGCAGTTGACATTCGGGAGTCGCTGGTCACCCCCAGCAGACCGAGAGATGTTTTACTAAGGATTCACAGTTTGAACCTACAAGTTGGGGAGCGGCTCACCTTTCTCAGTTTCGGACCGGTGTGCCCTCACTGTGGCAATTTCGAGACTTTGAAGCACTGTTTTGTGGAGTGCCCGAGGATCCAAGTTGTGGTTTCTGCGGTGAAGAAAGCCCTGAGCATGATCAATCTGATCGTGTAAGGGCCTAATAAACTCAAGCTATTAGGACTTAATCAAACTTAAAACCTCTCCTCGGGGTCACCTCCAAGGGTCCCTGGGTGCCTGGTACAAGACCAGCCCCTATCCTCGGGTCCGAGTTTGTAGAGAGAGGGATCAAGAAGGACTTAGTCAAAACAGCAAGAGTACCTTGAACGTCGCGCAGCGTGCCGTGCAGACCGTCGGTCGGATTAAGCTGAGAATTCGCTATATCGAAGCTCGCTCCAAGAGCTTTAAAATGAGCCAAGTTGCCTCGCGAAAAGTTCTGCCATTACGAAGTTATGGCTCAGACGGTGTTTGCCTAGCATTAGAGTGCTAGCATACTAGCGTTGACTCGGGTAGCATTCCGCCGTCGAATAGCGCAGAAACGAAATTCCAGCGAGGAAGGAATTCGCTTGAATCAATTTGACTATATTCAGGTACAAACAGAGAAGGATTAAATAGTTCTAGCTAGCAAGGACCTTGGGAATCAACTTGGGAACAACCAGGGATGATCCCAAATAATTCCAAGCAACAGAACCAACCTGGCTGGACAAAATAGCAGGTGGTAGGTTGGTAAACAACCTCTGGTTCTGTTTTTCCAACCTGGGAAAACAACAACCAGGTTCAGGTTCTAAAAACAGAACCTGTTTTTGTCTTTGCCCAACCAGCCAAATGCTGGTTCCGCTGGTTTCCCCTGGCCTTGTAGCATGCAGATACAGACAAACAATATCCAACCTTCACCTAAATTGTACCTCTATAGTGCCTTCCCTGCTACACTATAGTTAACCAAACAAAACAGTACAATTCCGAGTTGGATAGAACTGAATCTGCGCAATCAACTCAACCGAACTGCAAAGCTTCCATCTTGGGTTCCTTTGCGAGCTCGTCCTTCCTGCTTGCACTGTTCATAGCGCATACAATGTTGTGCCAAAGCGCACATTGCGCGAGTACCTGCAAATGCATCAAGCGAAAAATGCGAAAGCAAACAAACACACGAACACACCATTCACACGCAAATGCATTCGCACACGCATACTCGTACAAACAGACGGCAGGATGTCGTGCAATGTGCATTTGCACCCAACACACTCCCCCTCAGCCTGCCGGCTGCATCCCCGTCATTTCATGCTAGTTCATGCTCATTCCACTCATGCGCACACAATGCCAATGAGGCTCATCCGCAAGCCTCTTGGTGAGAAAGTCTGCTGGCTGCTGGTGATTCTTGATGTAGATCGGATGCACCGTCCCCCTCTTCACCTCCTTACGCAGCCAGTGCCACTTGATACGCATGTGCTTGTTCAGCCCATGAAGCACAGCGTTTCTGGCCATCCCAAGAGCCCCCTTGCTATCACAAAACAGCGGCGTAGCAACCTTCTGCTCCTGGCCAATCTCCTCTAACAGCCTCCTCAGCCAAATCACCTCCTTCACCCCATGGAACATCGCCATGTACTCTGATTCTACGGAAGAGAGTGCCGTCTCCGTCTGCTTCTTGGACCTCCAACTAACAGGTCCTCCCCCAACTACGCAGATGTATCCTCCCACAGATGAGGAATCCTCCTTCTCAGAAGCCCACGTAGCATCGGTAAAGCAAGTGAGAAATAGCTTGCCTTCTCCAAGCCTCTCCCCCTTCTCTTTCAGCACCTCCACCCCTTTCTGCTTCACCTGTGCAGATGCGGAGTATTGAACTCCAATGCTTGGGTGAGAGTTCAGGTACTTCACCACACGCTCAGCTGCATCCACCTGCTCCTCTGATGGATTCTGCACCACCCTAGCCAGCTGCCCAACCGAGAAAGAGATGTCGGGCCTCGTGTGAACTGCTGCGTACAAGAGGCTGCCCACCAAGGACTGAAATTGCTGCTGCTCTTCAGCTTCAACCCCTTCATCCTCTGCAGCCTTCACAAGCTTGAATTCTGCTGGCAGGGGAGTTGCAACCTTGCGCTCATTCTCAATCCCATACTTCTCCCCCAGCTCCTTGATGAACTTCTCCTGGTGCAGCTTCAACCACCTGTGATCTGGATCCCTCTCCACGTGCATCCCGAGGTAGTACTTTACCTCCCCAAGGTTCTTGCACTTGAAGTTTTCCATCAGTTGCTGCTGCACTTTCTGGATCTCCTTCATGCTGCTGCTGAAGAGAAGAATGTCGTCCACATAGACCAGAAACAGCACCAGCTTCTCCCCCTCGCCCTTGAGAAAGAGGCTCTCATCACAGCTGCTGGTCCTGAATCCCATCTCCTCTAAAACAGCTGCCAACTTCTGGTACCAGCAGCGTGGCGCCTGCTTCAAGCCGTAGATGGACTTGTTGAGCTTGCACACCCTGCCCGTACCATCCTCATACCCAGGCGGCTGCGTCATGTACACATCCTCCTCTAAAATCCCATTCAGGAATGCCGTTGAAATATCCATCTGAATGATGAATTTCCCACTAACAGCTGCATCTGCCAACAAGACACGGAGGGTAGGGGGTTTGGCAGTGGGAGCAAAGATCTCGTTGAAGTCCTGCTTCTCCTTCTGCATAAACCCCTTCGCCACCAGCCTACTCTTGTAGATGGTGACCTGCCCCTTGTCATCGGTCTTGATCCTCAGCACCCACTTGCATTGTATCGCTTTCTTCCCATCAGGCAGCACCACCAGATCCCATGTCCTATTCTCCAGCAGACTCTGGTACTCAGCATCCCTAGAAGCCAGCCACTTGTCCCTATCTGGTCCAGCTAATGCCTCCTCCATGCTAGCTGGTTCTTCTGGTGCAGGGGCAAGAAAACAGTACGCAGGCTCATCCTCCTCATCCGGGTCATAGCCATGAGGTAGAATCAGCAATGCCTCTTCGGTCCCTAGCTGCTGCTCTGCTGCATCAGTTCCTGCAGTCAGCTTCTTAGTAGCCATACGGGTACGTCCTGGCCTGGAGACGGGTGTCTCCCATCCCTTCATAACGACACCCTTCGGCTTCTTAGTTTTTCCCTGCTGCTTCTCTCCTCCCTCGGGTCCAGCAGCTCCACTAGTGCTGCCGCCAGTTTCCACACCATTTTCTCCACCAGCAGATGCCTCCTGTACCTTCTCTCCATCACCATTTCCAGCAGCTGCCTCCTCTCCCTCCTCCCACACACTAGGAGTCAGGTCCAGCTGCATGGTGATCTGCTCCATCTGCTGGGACACCCTTGCCTCCGGCTGTTTCTCCCAGCTCCCATACATCATGCCCTCAATGAATTTCACATCCCTGCTGTCAAACAACACACCCTTGGATGGTTCCCACAGCAG